ATAATCATTAATTTTTCCTCGCTTATAATTTTCCTTTAGTTCTACAATTTTACTAATTACTAAAATTAATAAATAATTTTTTTATCTACAGCCTTATTAGATTAAAATAGTCTATATTCTATAATATGTAACAATATATTGCCATCATACATATATGTATGATTATTAAGATAAATTATAAATGAGTGCACATAAACCATTTTCATATCTCAATCGATTTTATGTTACTTAAATAATTTTAAAAAGTTTTTCTCTTCTCTTTTCTAAGCAACATAGGGTATCCTCCTGTTAGATCTCTCTGCTAATGCACACAACCCACAATTTTTTCTGCTTTTAATCGTATGAATATTCAAAAGCCATTCAATGCAGTTATGCATATTAAATTTTGCTTTTTGTTTGGCATATAAAAATTGCATATTGTGGCCGCTGTCCCAGCGAAATGTTTGCTAATAATCATTGTTAATGCTTTCACTTGCATTAGTTGGCCATAAAAACTGGAGCAGAGTCTAAGCAAAAAAAAAAAAAAAAAAAAAAAAAAAAACGGGAGATGAATAAACAAATTGCACTTAACAATATTTATATTTTAATCTGGGAGAGATGTGAATTTATCATTTTCTATCCGATCTTTTTTTTCTGGACTGCTTTGCCACTTCTAGCCCACTCCGCTGCCTTTGGCTGAGTGAAGTGAGAATTTGTTTGCGAATTTGTAAATAAATCCAGAAGTATTCATTCATTCGTTTATTCGTTTATTCGCTCATTCGTTCGTTCATACACTTATTTTTAGATACGCATCAAGTTGATTTATTTAGATTAAACTTTTGCCGCTCTTCTCGTGGCAGTGGCATGCGGCATGCGGCATGCGGCATGTGGCAGTGGCATGTGGCAGTGGCAGTGGTCTGCGTAGTCGTCGTAAAATGATTTTCATAAGAAGGACAGAAAAGAATAAATTGATTTTAAATCATTTTCGCAGACGACTTTATCGGGGTGGTGATGTTGACATTGGAAGGCAACCGGATTGAGGGGCGCGGGTGGGGCACGGTGCGGGCACTCTCGTTCGTATGCAAATAAGCATGAAAATAAGAATAACAAAAGCCAAGTTAACGAGTATTCAAAAACAAGATTAAAATAGGAGTGTTCCAGCAGACACACGGAGCGAGAGAGAGAGAGAGTGATAGAGAGAGAGTGAGGGAGGGAGAGAGCACCGCATGTTGTGATTTACCGCCTCTTCAGCCTCCATCTCATGATGTGACAGTTGCAGTCGGCAGAGCAGAATTCAATGCGAATTTCCTAGCCAGCTTTCGAACATCATGTGTGTATGCGTCTGCGTGTGTGTGTGTGTGTGTTGTGTTACGAGTGTGAATTTGAGCTGGCAAATTCTGAATTTTGATACAAGGGCGCCCTGTTTGGCTCGTGGGGTTGGCTGAAGGCTTCAAGTTGCTTTTGTGTGTTGACTTGATGTGAATTTGATTTGTATTTAGCGTTGATTGAGGCAACGCTCGCCGCTCCACACTCCACACTCCACGACTCGACTCACATTGGACATGCTCTTCAATTTGGTTAGTTCAGCTCGAAGTTATTTGCATTTTCACTCAACTACTTTCACTTCCAGTTGAGAACTTTACTTGTATAATTCACTAGTGCGCCTCATACCCAGCGACAAAATATGCAAAATTGCACTTGCCTCGACTCACTGACACGGCCTTGCTTGTGGTTCCTGCTGCTGCTGCTTCTCCTGCTGCTGTGGTTTTGTGACATGCCGCATCAATCTATCACCGTTTTCTCACTACAAGTACCCCGGCTCAGCTATTCGATCCCAGTTCCAGTTCCAGTCGCACGAAAGCCCCATTTACATGACCATAGCCAGCTTCTGGCCTGGCCCTGCCTAGCTCTGCCTGGCAGCTGTAGAACGGTGTTTGGTGCCCCAGTGCTTGGAGTGCTCGATGCTCGCTGCTTGGTGTTCGGTGTTCGGATGTGGCCCCAAATTGAATAGATTGGTAGATGGGCAAGTCGCTTGCCAGTTGGCTGCCAGCATTTTACCCAAATTTTTGCATATATAAATATTTATGAATTTATTAAAAGCGAACCACACGGGCATGCTAGCGGCTGCCTAGTTGGATGGATGAATGCATAAGTCAGCGAGGCAGGTTGGCAGGCCGAAGCCCGGCCGGCATGGACTGGGCTGTATAACTGGCATGTGTGCAGGCATCGGGCATTGCACACATGCCGCATGCCTCATGCCTCCACGCCTCCACGCCTCCACGCCTCCACGCCACCATGCCTCATGCCGCTTGGCGCTTGCCACTTGCCGCCTGCCACATGCACAGATACTAGCAGTGGCTCATGTTTAACGAAATGTTTGGTACATTTTTGGAAAATTTGCACAGCAGAGCGACAAGAGGCGCACCACCACCGCCGCACAAAACGAACGTCCAATTTCCCAACAAAAAAAAAAAAGTGCATAAAGAAGAAGAAAAAACTGTGCACAAAATGRCGCACTCGTCAGCCCGACTGGGACATGGCCTGGGCTGGCCTCGCCTCGCCTGGTCTGGTCTGGCCTGGTCTGGCCTGGGCTCTAGCCATTCATTTGCACGAGAACAAGGCAATCGCATATTTGCGGCCGGCAAACGAGATTGTCAAATTTTTGACTACGCCGCACCGCCCCCCTCACAAGCGAGCCGTTGCATGCAGCGAGGCTGTCGCTCAAAGTATGGCGCACAGGGGCTCACGCATAATGCATGAAGTTGTCATTATCAGGGCCAATTGAATTGAGAATTTTGTGCCTAATGTTCGGTTAGCCGGGCACACAGCGGCCCAGCTTTGACTGAAAAGGAAAAGTCGCAAATGAATTTGCCAAAAATTGAAAATTTAGCCGCCTCACTGAACCGTTCAGCTGTGCCACCCGGGCCACCCGGGCCGCCCCGTCCGCTGTCCGACGTCCGACGTCCGCCTCAAGTGTTGTGTCGCTGGTGATTGCAAATTTTGCACTGTGTAGCGCCCATTGAGCGCTGTCCGTTGACCGTTGTCCGTTGACCGTTGACCCTTGCTGTGGCAGTG